AGCATACACTCAAACACATATCCTTTATTTTTAGATACCCAATCAACCTTAAATAGCAAGCAAAATTTTACATTTGCAAAAACCCCTTTAACTCTAAAACACTGCCACATTTGGGATCTCAACCAAAATGATACAAATTTGTTTTACATTTAACACAATACAGGTTGAATAAGTATTAGTCACATTACAGTGTCAAACCTTATGTATAAATCTTATCAAATTGTAACATTGCCACATTTCTGAGTGAATTCAGTTAAAACACATATACAGTAAACCATGAACTCAAACACATATGACCTATTTCACATCTCGAAACAACCAAAACTCTATTGAAATTGTCACACTGCCAGAAATTCATTCACTTCTCATCTCACTGCCACACTTTTGGTCTCACGAAATGTTGAATAAACATAAGCCACACTTCAGTGTCTAATCACTTAAGACACAAATGCATTAAACCATACACTCAAACACATGTCCATTATTTTTCACATCCCAAAACAAGCTTACAAAGTAAACATAATTTAACAATGCTAAAAACCCCTTAAATCTCAACTCACTGCCACAATTGGGATCTCACACAAAAAGATACAAATTTGTGTCACATTTAACATAATAAAGGATGGATAAGTATTAGTCATATTCCACATTGAAATCAGTAAAAACACATATGCAGTATACCATGAACTCAAACACATAACACCTATTTCACATCTCCAATCAACCAAAAACTCTTGGCAAATTGTCACACTGACAACAACCCATTTACTTCTCATCTCACTGCCACACTTTGGGTCTCAATAAATTAGATACAAATTTCTTTACACTCAATAATACAATTCTTAAACACTCATTCAATATACTTAAAGCTCAAGCCAAACATTCAAGAACACACTTATGAGCCAGTAGTACCCCTACCTCTCTATTTCACAAATTTGAAATCAATATATCACACAATTCCTTAACTAAACACTGCCACTAGATTCAAGAAACAAATCACCAATTATGAGAACAATACAAAATTATACAAAAAACCCCAAATTAGCCCAATTCTCACACATCCAAATTCCCATTAAACTACCAGCTAAAAATCAACACAGCACAATGCAGTACTTCTAAATAAGCAATTAATAAAACAACACTGCATACTTCCAATCCAAAAAAAAAATCAGTCCAATATTCAAAAATTGAAACCAAAATAAAAATCCATTTGAAAAAATATACGAAAAATTAATGTCGTGAATAACCTAATAATGTCATGTTGTTTGGAAAAAATTAGTACAAGAAATCTTATGAACAACTAGTACCTGGATCTTCTCCAACCTTCCCTAAGTGGAATCTTGTCCAATGCATCGTCAACCTCCATCAACATTGCAAGCCTTCGTGGGCTGTGTATTGGCGTGGAGGTCATATATATTAGGGGTTTTCAATTGCTCACGATACGGATATGCAAATCCCAATTTAGCCAGATTCCTCGCGCTAAAGAAACGGGTGAGTCTGGCATACACCAAAAAAACCAGGCATTAATTACCATAAATTAGGTGAATCAAATCTCTAGTACTAGTTACAAAAGGGCAAAACTGGCATTCCAAGCACTCAACGCTATATGGGACTTCAATTCTCAATAGCAGTGTTATTTTGAGTATTAATCTAATACTCTAGTGCTATTTCCGTACTTCTCCCTTGATTTAATTGACCTTTACCTAAAAAGGTTCTTACATTCCATTCATGATAATTCATTTCAAAGTTCACATTGTAAATAATTTCTTTATTTATTCTTAATTTGGTTTGTACTCAGATTCCCAATCAAGATCACACAATAAGTCAACATGTTGGATTTATCTCTATTATTTTTATTGGATATCAATATATATTTTATTTCGGCACAAAGCCCAACAACAATTTATTTTAATCAAAACAAATTTGATTAATTTGAATACTTATCTATCAATAATTCTAGTGTATGTTTTGGGGCGTTACAGTAGGAGCTGACCATCCAACCTCTATGCTTCTCCAAACATGTCCACCAAGAGACTTGAGAGAGGCTCTCATTCGACATTTTCAAAAAGTATAATCATGGCTGCATAATAGTGGAGGTTTAAAAACATTAGAACCTTCTTGAATATCTCCCACGGTGATAGATCAATCAAGCTAAAAACTTAAGCTTGCCAAGCTCCGATACCAATTGTGAGTTCGTGGGGGCGCAACGGAAATCACCAATTAAGAGCTATGCAAACAAATCAATCAACTATACTGTAGAGAAGACACTGCAGCACTGCCACAGTAACAGATGACAGACAGTGTGCTATAACATCTTCTCTATCACAAGCGCACACACACACAATATAAAGTAAAAGTAGTAAACAGTGCACGAGAATTGTTTACGCCAGGGCCGGTCCTGAGAATTCATATGCTTGGGCCGAAACCGAAAAAATGCCCTAAAAATCTTATCCCTAATGATATAACAAATTAACATTTGTAAACTAATTACATTTAAATGATAATTAACGCAATATTATTAAGAAAAAATGACAAATTTATAGTATTATAATTGCATACCGTTTAGGATTTCATTTCTTCATCTCGTTTTCTCCTTTTTCTTTTTTGACTACAGGATAATTGGTTAAGAGTCATAGCTATTGAATTATTTCTGAAATAAAATCCAAATTCATAAATTCTACTACTTAGTAAAATCAAGTATGAAAAACTGAAAAGGCAAGCAAATAAATAAATATATCATAAATTCATATCAATTCGTCAATTTTTCTTTTTTTAATTATTTTTTTTCTTTTTCATTTTTAATTTTTTTATAAATCATAAATTTATATCAATTCATCAATTTATCAGTTTTTAATTTTTCAGTTTTCAATTTTTTTATATAAATATATCATAAATAACAAATTCAAATCAATTCATCCAAATCAAATAAATAACACATAGAACCATTAATTCATTCTATTTCAAAGAATGAATTTAGAAAAGATTTCAAATTAAAAACTAATAATTAACCCTAGATTTTAAATCTGAAAAATGAAATAATGAAAAAAAATTAAGATTTAAGAAATAAAAATTACAAAATTGAAAAACTATGAATAATTGAATATGGAATACCGGGAGGGTGGAGGTCAGCGTCCGGCGGCGTGCCGGCGTCCTTTCTTCCGCAATTGGCTCTTGCCCTCTTTCGTGTCCTTTCTTCGGCAGTCTTTGTCGAATCCTTTTTTTTTGTCTACATACGGGGTGAGGGGTGGATTGGGCTAAGGGTAGAGTAAGCTAAGGGGTGAGGGGGTGGGCTGGGCCTTAAATGGGGTGGGCTTCTTATATATATATATATATATATATATATATATATATATATATATATATATATATATATATATATATATATATATATATATATATATATATATATATATATATATATATATATATATACAATACTTAAAAAACAATTGTGCCCCTAAAATTATTGGGCCCGACCCGAACGGACACTTTGTCCCCCTATTGGGCCGGCCCTGGTTTACGCAGTTCGGAGCAACCCTCCTACGTCTGTGGGGCCCACGTCCGTGTAACAACGCTTCCATTAAATCACTGTAAGAATTACACAACCAATCACAAAAGAACCTTCTAATGTATTGATTTGGCTACTTACGAATGACTTGACGACAAACTCTCTTTGCGTTTATCTCCACGGCTTGTTACACCTTCTCAAAGATCTTCAAGGATGTAGATTCCAGTACACCTTCAAACAATGGTTCTGCTTTTCTCTACACAAATTATGCAGGCTGATCCGAAGCTCATAAATCAAGAATGAACCGTTGGAATTCGATCTCCACCGTTCAGATTGAAGCTCTACAAGTCCTTAGAGTCGTCCTGAAATTTCAGCATAATCGGACAAGATTTGGTACTCCAACCATCGACAAAACCATAGCTGCGTTTTCTGAAAAAAAATCAGCGACAATATGTAGATTGTAAGTTTGATAATAGAAGATCCGTAACTCCGATTGACAAATTGAACACGTTGAAGCCCTATGTGTTGGGAACACTCTCCGAAAATTTCAGCAATTTCCAACGGTCGGATCTTCGGCGATGATCAAATTCATGCAGATTGTTCAGAAAATTTGCACTGTCAAAATCTGCACCTTGTTTTTCTTCCAATCGGATTTGCTTATGTTTTCGCACACTCAAACCATAAGGGAGGGAGATGATAATATAATAACCCTGTTAGGGTATACTTAGGAGTCTCAACCATAGCTTGCTCTTCAAGAATAGTAAACCAAGTAGGATTAGAATTCTCTCTTCAAGCTCTTTCCTCTTTCTCTTTCTTCACATGCTAGGACTCTAAGTCTAAGGGACTGTTTGTCAACTTCTGAATAGGTAAGTGCTAAACCAGTAAGAGGTCTGAATTAAGTGCTGAACCAGTAAGAGGTCTGAACCATTAAGAGCTAGTATATTGCTTAACTATTCAAAGGCAAATGTCTGATCAATTCAGATAAGAGATCTTAACCATTCAGACTCTGTATAATACTTAACCATTTAGAGGCAAATGTTTGAACCATTCAGACATCTACTCACGAAACAAACAGTCTGAACCATTAAGTGCTGAACCATTCAGACATCTGAACCATTAAGAGGCTGAAACAAACAGTCCCTAAATAAAACATCTAAAATAATTCTAGACAAATCTATTCATTTGTCAAAAAATAATGCCAACACAATATGAAACTAACATAATCGGGTGCACGTTATTGACTATTTGAGTGAAGTCCCAAAATATTGAGTACAGTATTTGCTTGAGTCTGCGCATTGTCAGCTTGATCAGCATTTCTTAGCAGAAAACGATGATATGAATAATTGAACACAATGTTTATGATAGTCTTTCATTTTTAAGGAGTCATTTTTATTTCAGTTAATCACTTTTGAGTTAACTTTCAATTCAGTATGCGTTCAGAAAATATCAATCGGGAAAAATCAGACTCGAGCATAATGATATCTCAAACAGGATAAACAGGACGATGTTATTTAGCGGTGATCCACAAACCAGGAAAACAAAAAATCAAGAATGGTTTACAACCAAGGCAATAGAATCAAGAAAATTACTAAGGTACTAAAATTGCTTGCTTATTTCATCCTCCATATTTACCAATAAGGTTAATCCTCCACCTACCGTTGAATTCCCAGATTCTATATGGCAGAGGTGCAAAAAGCCAGAAGAGGATTCATCTAGGCTGTTCACAGATTTGGCATGTTGTGGCACGGCGATTCTTGTTGACAAAAGTGCATTTATCACATTCCCAGTTGCCTGAAGCATCATCTGCACACATGGTGCAAACATTAGCAGAGCTTGGATTCAGAAAGGTGCACATATCACATGCCCAACTTCCCAAATCGCCATTGCTAGAATTTGAGATATTTGGCATGTCTGTTGTTGGGGGACGAGAAGTCCTCCGTCTTTTTTCAATTGCTACAGAGCGGCTGCTGCTGCTTCCGCCAGGTAACAACAAATCAGGGTTTCTGAAAGCCGAAGCCTTTCCACTCGTAGTCAGTGGTGAATTTCTCACACTTGCCATATTGCTGCTTCCTGCTCCAAGTGCATAATTCTTTGCAGCTTTGCCTGTTGTCATAATGCTTTCAGAGCTTTCCCTGAATCTCTTATCAACTCCCAGCATCACCCCATCATAGCTTCTCCTAGCTCCTACTAGTGCATTAAAATGGTGTGCATTGCTGCCATTCCCCGTCCCCAACACTGTTTGCCTGTTGGCAGGCCCACCTGACACTGGTCCATTGCCCATGATGCCTTGTGGGTATCCGTAAGCAACCGGACCATTTACCCAGGTGGGCAACACATTTGCTAGGTTTCCCCTTGGCAAAAGCCTTGGGTCAAGCCCTCCTACTACAACACCATTGACAGAGCTTCCCGGTTGCAGTCCGCGTCCCATGCCCATTGGAATTTGTAAAGTGTTTCCAAAATTCAACTTTTGTCCCGGCTCTACCCCTATCATGTTGCGACTGAAAGCCACTGCTCCATTATTAACCATGTTTGGGGTTGCAAGTCCTGCCGCTATTCTTCTACGTTGTTCCTTCATTTGAGCAGTTGCTGTATTTTCCAGAGCCGTCATAGCCGCGACGTTGTTGGGCAATATGGGGATGGCGTTTCTTTCGGTTTGAGTCTTGATGCCACGGATAGCTAGTAAGTTTTTCCATCCAGTTTTGTCTCTACCACACCCAGAAACCGTTGCACGATTAGAGTTACTGCCACTACACCCGTTTTTGGAGTTGTAATGAACCGCCTGTGTATCCACATCCTCAATACCATTTTCCAAAGCACTAACCAAATTCTCAAAGTAATTCTTAGTCACGGCCGTTAAACCGGTGAGCTTTATACGAAAATCACTGAAATTAGGGGAATCAGCTTCCTCCGGGCTGAGGTAGATCTCAAGTTCCTTCTCTGCACATTGATGAAGCCTCTCCAATCCCTCCTCGGCCTGCCCCTGCAAGTACTCAAAGAATTGACTCTTGGTATGCTCCTCCTGTGGCAAGTAGAACCCATAAGCGTAAGTCCACTTCAGCACCCTCCTGCACTCAATGATCTGCTTCCAAGCTTCCACTATGAACTTCACTTGTGCCAATGAAAGGGACTGATGTTCACAGATCTTCATCACGTTAACACCCTCCATTTCTCTTAAGTCAGCCATGGCTTTCTTCATTGATTTCTCATTAGCAGCCCACCTCTCATAGTAGTGTGTGTATCTCTGGATAGACACCTTTGCCATTTCCTTCCGCCTCTCAGCTTCACTCCCGGGCTTGTATCGATTACACGAATTATACCCATGAACAGACCAATCATTCAAGCATAGCCAACAGAATTGAAACCTGCAAGGAGCCTTGCAAGTAATCCTCATACAGCCTTCTCCCTTCTCAATAGGGCGCTTGCACTTTGGGCATGGCTTTGTGTAAGCTAGAATCCAATTGGTGTTCTCAGATTCTGCATTGTTCTTCAAAATCCATTTGCCAACGGTTTCGCAATCCACAGGCCTGTGAGCTTCTTCTGTGCAATTCCAGCAAAAGAAGTTGCCACATTCGCAGATGACATCGGCATTCTCGCTCCCAATTTCGAACCGGATGGCAAATTCGCAGCCTGGGGCTGTGCACCACTTGATTTTCATATTCTCTTCAACGTAAGACCGGAAAAGAAAGCAAAAGTATTTCTTTTTGTCATCTTCCGTGGCTAGATTCTCAATTGCATCCAGATTAACAGCAATTTTGCATGAAGGGTCGGGGCACCTCAGGCTCAAGCAACCCGGCCCGTCTGCTACGGCGGTTCCTATATAGCTACTCCAGCAGTCTAAACAGAAAGGGTGGTTACAAGAGGATGCATAAATTTTACAGGGGGACAAATCATCGAAACAAATTCCACAGGTGATTTCTCCAGAACCTGAAAATTCAAAGCTTTCATAGGGTTTATTCCATTCCAGACCCACCTCCTTCCGGACCCTCTCCTCGTCCGCGAACCACTCCTCGTGAACTCTGTTGACGCTCCAATTGTAGCGGCGGAGAAGAGTTGATGCCTCCGCCCTGGAAACTGAGAGGACAGAGATGATTTGAGCCATATCGGCCTCCATGAGGCGACGGATGTCGTCTCTATTCAAGATCGTGAAATTCGTCTCCAACTCAAGATCATCATCTCCGAGGAATTCAGTATCCCTTCCCGCTTCGCCATCGCTTCCCGATCCTTCGGAGACGTCACTGTCTCCGCCGCTGTAAAAATCATCTTTCGGCGAGTCTGCTTCGAATAAAGCGTCGTCGGAGCGCACCATAGTGTTAGTAGTCGATCGGTGTGTGGTGGGGTCACTGGAGAGATGGAATTGAAGTCCACCAAGGGATTGTTGAATTCGGATGCGGCTGAATTTTATACTCCTCTCTCCAACAACAAAAGTTTACTGTAGTATTTACTTAACCAAACTTTATTAACTTTGTTAGTCATATTCAATAAAATAATATAGTTATATCACATCTAATTTTATGTAGTTTTTTTTATGTAGTTTTTTAATATGAAATTTTTATTTTTTAATTATATAATAGTATTTTTCATAAAAAAATATTTTAAACATAACTTCAGTCAAATATCTTAACGCGTAACAGAAACTATATTTATGAACTGAAGGAGTATTATACTCCTTTCACTTTCCTCTTTTGACTTATGAGTATTTTAAGCGTGTCATGAGCTGTTCAACATTAGATCTAGACCGAAACACCGACGGGAGCGGATCGATAGATCCAGACTGAATCCGGACCAATTGCATTTAGGGTGGTCTTCGGTCCTAGTATTTTAACATTTTGAGTTTCGGTCGGGTCCATACCTAAATTTATATCCGTCCAGCCTGAAATAACAGATAACTCTTGCGGAGCACACATCGTCTGCTGTCCACTCCGGACTCTAAGCCTAATTTATATACATCATCTTCTCCAGTTCTCCCAGTTAGGGTTTTTTCAACTTTATACGCAGTTTGGTATAATCTTCTCCATCTTCCATCTTCAACTCTGTTCTCTGTCTGTTCCTTAGGATCGTCAGTCAGTAGATGACCATAGACTCCAACTCAACCATTTCTGCAACTCTCTTCTCCACCTTCGCACTCCTATTCAAGTATGTGAGTTTAATTAATTTTCAATTAGGCTTTAATTGAGAATATGGGTATAATGATTGCTCCCTCACCTTCAATTTAGTCAATTACTTCTGGCATAAAGTCTTTCGATCTTCAATTGAAAGTCAGGGTAATATTCAGTGCTTCACCAAGGAAGAATTGATAGTGGGGTAAAGGTTTGTCTCTGTCGGTTTGAATTGGTTCGGTCCATCATATTTCGATCTGGTCCGGTCCGAAACTGAAGATATTTAGGTCCAGTCTTTGGTCTTGCGTTTGCTTTAGTTCGGTCTTCGATCTAGTTCGGTCTGGTCCGGTCTGATTTTAAACTGATGAACACCTCTATGCACAGGTTGAAGAATTTTTTTTATCAATTTTAAGTATTTTATTTCACTTTTTAATGTTTTTTCTTTTACATTCTAACTCTTAAGATCTGCTTGGTGTAGAAAAAAATTCCATAAAATTCCAATTTTACTTTTCTATGTTAGATTGCATAAGTGGTAGAAATCATTTCTTAAGATAAATATTTTTTCACAGAGAGAAAATAACTTTCAAATGTTTTAGATAAAATTTAATTCTTCTTACTCAATCCTTGAATACTCTATTTCCTCGAGTTCATTCCTCCCACCCACCCTCATCCTCTCCTCCTACCTCACCCTAGCCACCCCTAGAAAATGAAGCTCTATAATCAAAACTTAGTTTCACAATCGTGTATAAAAAATAATTAATATGCCCTCTAAAATATTTAACAATTATCTTAAAATATCTCTTTTATTCAAATATCAACAATGTACTAACTCTTTTAATGAGACAATGGATTTTTTTGTTTTTGAAAAAAAAAACTTTCTATCAAACATGGAGTAACAGAAAATATGGAGGAGAATACTTTTTCATGGAAATTGTTTTCCTCTAAAATAATTATCTAGAAACATATTGTCTCACAACCAAATGCACCTGTCCAAAACTCTCCAATTTCGGATAATAATCATTCCCTGACAAAAAATGTTCCCCTTAATAATCGTTTTGCCTCCAATTTTCTCCAAAACTCTGCACAAAAATGGGCAAGGATAAGACCAAGCCTTCAGAATCCGGCAAGCCGAAGGTCAAAGCTTTGACATCGGCAAACACGGTCTACCTTACTTGGATGGATCGTTCCTTTACTTCGGCACGGAAGAGGAGCTCACCCGATTCCTCAACTACTTTGCCAACCTGGATGTGGCACCCCCACGTATCCTCACGGAAAAATACCCGGAGAAAAGGGGTACGAGGTGCTGGATAATCAACTCCAACAGTCGGGCCTATGGTCGTTTGTCTCCAAAAGTCGAAAAGACTTCAACCCGGCGCTGGTTCGTGTTAGAATGCATGAGTTCAACTCTTTCTATGTTGTTAAGTGTTGACTCACATGATTTGATAATTGACAAACACAAATTAATCAAGTCAAGATTAAAGTGCTACATTGACAAACACGAAGACTTGGAGTGCCAAATTCCTTGAAATATTCAAGAAGGTGCACGGAATTCAATTAGAGTCCAAGACGCATTCAGACCGCCTAATGGAGGACTCGGGAGGAGTAGAAGATTTCCAAAGACTTTTTATTTTATTGAGTCTAGGAACATATTGTAAGGATGAAAAAAATTATCTTCTCTCCAAAATTATTTTTATGAGAGTTAAAATAAAACTTATATATTTATTTTTGGAGTCAGTTGAAAAATCCTTTTAACCGTTCAAAATACTTTTATTGAGTCAATTACAAAAGGTGTGTCAAACATTTATCCAAATATTTATTTTGATATTAGAAAATATTTTTGGTAATAAAAAATATTTTATTCAAATATTTTTGTGTTCATCGTTTGACACACAAAATATTTTTGGGACTCATTTTCTACGCAAAAAATACATTTTCATAATTCAAATTTGAATTTGAATTATATTTGTTGGTTAGGGAGCCTCCTTATCCTGATTTGTTTGTCCCAAACAAGTGCTAGAATCCAATAAAGCACTTCACCTCGCACATATGATTGTGTTCTTCTTGTTTGGACATTATTGCTTAAAAAATCAATTGTTACACTTTGGCAATAATCGATTATCATTTCGTCCATTGAAAATTTTTTGGACAGAATCAAATAATCGATTATTTGGCCTCAAATAATTGATTTTTTCACTCACTTTTCATCAAACTTTTTTCTAAGCTCCAACGAATATATTGCTTCAACCCCTTTATAAACTTCATTCCTTGATATATTTTCAGAGAAAACTAATTGTTTTCAAGAGACTATTTTGTCATCCATTAGAACATAAATCATTTCTCATTTCTACTCTTGTGAGAGTTTATGTTGAGAGGTTGAAGAAGATTGTTGTTCTTGTTGTTCAAGACTTATGTGACTTAAGTCTTGGTTGTGAAGTCTTGTAGAGGGCATATCTACGAGCGGTTGTGTCGAGGCTTGTGGGATTCAAGTTCTCGAGTTATAAACGGTTTGTTAAGCACCCGTAAGCTTAATGGAGGTAGTGTAGCTCGAGAGAGTCTCTCGGGAGCTGGACGTAGCCACACGTTGTGGTGAACCAGTGTATATGAGTGTGTTCTTTGTCTTCTCTCTTTTATTTCTGCTGTAATTTCATTTATCTTATATTAATCCTGCGAAAATCAGTAAATATTCTTGACAACTCTAGAGTTGCACGCATTGTCTAATAGCTCGGGTGTTCTATTCGAACCTCCGGCGTGAGGGGGACGTGCTCTATAGCATGGTGAAGCTCATCGACATCGAGCTCACCGTGGAGACACTCGGGCGCGTCGTTAGGCTTCCCTACCAAGGTGGTGGCATCTCCACTTATGGCAACGACGAGTGGCTAATCAACAACGAGGAGTTAGTCATTGACGAGCTCGGCATAACCGAACTTATTCGGCATGCCGCCGGGCACCCCATGATCCACTGCGCGGCCCCGGAGAGCCAGTTGCTCCTATACAACATCACCCGGATTCTCAAGCCCTGGGATGGAAGCCACACAACCATGTTCGGCAAGCACCTGAAGGTCATACACGCCATCATGCATGGGGCCCCAATAAATTGGCCCAAGTTCGTGATGTTGCATATGGCCAACGACGCAACCATCGCCACCGACCGGCTTCTCCCCTACGCCTTTTTGGTCATGGATATCCTCAGATGCATGGACATCTTCTCTCTCCAGCCCCGTCACTCGGGCCACAAAAGTTTGGGTCATAGACAATCAAATTTTCAAGAAGAAGCCAGACACCGGCGCCACTACCACACGCCACACCACTACCCCACGCCATGCTGCAACTCCAGCCCGCGCCACCCTCACCTCCATCGCCTACTCCACCAACCGTCTTAGCCTCACGGTGGACGGCATGGGCAGCTTGATTGAGAGGATTGACGTGGCGGTTCAAAGACGAGGCTATGTCATGCAAGCCTACTCTGAACGTGTCAACAACGTGCCACCGCCATACCAATCAACCTTCCTCGGGCAGGACTTCGTTGAAGATGAAAACAACGACTCTTATGCCCCTTTAAGCTCCCCGGATGACGAAGAGCTTGATGAGGAAGTTGGTGGAGATCCCTTGAACGACAAGGACGACGAGGAAAAGGACGAAGAAGAAGATGAAGACGAGGGTTAGGCCACTGCTCCTAGAATTTCTATCTCTTCTCTTTTTTTCTTATTATCATACATATTTTTTATTATTCATGCAACCTATGGTTTTTTTGTGTTATTATTATTAAATATCTATGGATCAAAATAAATTTACCAATGAATATTGATTATAATTCTAATAGTAATTACATAAATTTAATTATGTATTGTATGCAATAAATAAATAAAATTACACCGTGAAACAAATTATTGATCACTGACTAATTTCACTACTAGTAAAATAGATAAAATATTCAAACAACATAAGAAGGAGAAATATTACTCAATTGTTTAAAATGTTTAATTTGAAGAAAAAAATAGAGTGTGAAGAAGATAAAGATACATTCTTGACTCTAATTAAATGTTTGAGTGAATGTGAATTTTTTCATATTCTGAAAATTCACAAAAAAAAAATCATATTTCGTTATTCATTTTTTTACTTTCTACTTAAACAAAAATTATTCAAGTTAACAAAAGTATTTCCATTAGCATAAACTATTTTGCAGAATACAAATTTATTAAATTATTCGCCAAATGTAGCATTTTTCATGTTAATGTTTGTTTCTATGTATTTTTTGTTTTTTCGTAGGTAGTTGGTTACATTTATATTTAAAACTTGATAGATAAAGTGGGGTTTTCACATTAGATTTGCACCAATATGTCATGAGATTTTGATAAAGGTAGGGAAAATTTTGAGAAATGATGTAAGCCTTAAGGGGTAACAATTCAAATTTTTTAAAAACTCAATACTAAATTTGAAGTATCTTGCAACATAAATCATTTCCATTAAATACATGATAAAAAGTTGTTACACCGTACAAAAAAACGAGTTTAACATATCAGTGCATAATTTTTCATAAGAGTGACTTGAAGCAACCTCCATCATGTTTGTATAACTATAATAATTAATAATCATAAACAAAGGTAAATTCCCCCATGACGTAGACAAAGGGTCTGGAATATAGAATTGATGCAAAAGATTCAAAAGTGCTATCAAAGTTAATGTTTATAAAGAAAAAAAGATCAAAAGTGATCACAGGAACCGTCAAAGAGCATTATTAGTATCCTCCTTTGTGAGGCTTTTTTTCTCAAGAAAAGAATGAATATGTGTGTGTGTGTGTGTGTGTGTGTATTTGAAAGAGAGGCTTTTCTGAAAGATAAAGAAAAGCAACAGATACAACCAAAGAAGAGAAAAAAAGGGACTAAATAACTCTAAGAAGCCTTTGACCATTTTTCCAGTACTGATCGAGACCCCAACCTTTGAAATCATCATCGAGGATCATCCATTTCTTGTTCTTGTTGACCTAGTACAAACTTTGGAGTTGCTTGAAACAATGTTGAATCACTCCTTCAGTCCTTCCTTAGTGGTCGTCTTCTCATCATAGATTCAAGTGTTGTGAGCCTTCTAAATGTTCCATGTGATAATGCCTGGGAGAGTTAATCTAACGCTGCCCTTGAAGCTTCTTTCGTTAGTTGTGAGCCACCAAATTAGTACATGTTGCATTAAGTTGAGAGTGCCAGCATGCATGGGACCGGACGCCATAGCTTCAAATTAGTTCAATATATCCTTGCTAAAGTCACAGTTGTGGAGGGAGTGATCTAAAGAGTCTTCATGGGATAGGTAGAAGGGACATTGGCTAGGAAGCATGAGCTCAAACCTCCTTAGGTTATTAGGAAAGGGTAGGCTATTGGTGAGAGATCTCATGAGGAACATCTGAAGTTTTGGAAACACCTGTAGGAGAGCTATCTCGGAAATCACTCTTCCCTAGCCAAGTATGCACGCTTGAGAGAAAAAGGGCCATCATCGCAAGTCATGATCCCATCTTCCTCTTTGTTGTGGGTGTCTCCCAAGGCATGCACCCTACATTTTTTCTTCTATGTTGGTGAACAAGTGTTTTTCTCCCTAACCGCACCCCCTTCAAGTATTTAGCTCGCATAAAAGTAGGCCACATACCATCTTCAATATGAATTCTCCACCAAAGTTTATTGGAGCATTCCTCCTCTAAGTTTGCCAGGTTCTTGATGCCCAAACCACCAGACTCCTTGGGTTGGCAAACTTTGTTCCAGTTTCTCCAAAGATATTTGGGCTTGACATGTCTTTGTTCCCACAAGAAATTTGCAATCTTTGAGTTGAGAGAGTTGATGACTAACTTAGGAAAGGTATGAACTACCAAAATCTGCAAGGGAATGGAGGAGAGTACGTGCTTGATGAGGATCAATTGTCCCATCTGATTCAGTGTTTTGTAATACCCGGATAAAATGTGCTTATTAAAGTGATCCATCAGTTTAAGGCATTGTTCCTTCTTTAATTTCTTTTGAGGTTCCAAAGAAGCTATTTTTCTAACATTATTTCTCTTAAGCGTGACCTATTTTTATAAAAATCAGGCTTTTGTGATTATAAATTAGAAGAATAGAATTTGGAAGAGAAAATAAGTTTTACATTTAAAAAATCTTTTTTAACTCTAAATCTATTTTGGGAAATTTTGGAGAAAGTTTTTGGGCTTTATTGAAATCCAAAGGTGGAAAGTTTTGACCCAAAAGTGAGAGGAGTAGAAAATATAAAAATCCCTCCTTCCCCCTTGTGCAAGAGAACACACAGCCCCTTTTTCGTAACCCTAGAGAGGGAAAGGGCAAGCAGCCTCCGGTCAGAAAACTATCATCGCTGGACGATTTCCAGTGAGTGAGGTTTCGTGACCAACATAATCAAAGAGAGAAGAGTGAGCGCAACCTGGTGAGGTGCATCACACGTCCTAGGCAAGTGCGACGGTTTGTTTCGTGTAGAGGCTAAGTGAGGAAATATGCAATTCATACCTTTTGGCGTTAGAACTTTATGGTTTTTGTTAGAATTCGTCGAATCGTTGTATTTTGTTACCTTAGATCTTAATTCTTTGAGTTGTTTGTTAAAATCCACATTTAGTAGTTGCCTCTGTTGAGTTAGATCATTGGTTTAAACTGTATACCCTTGAGTATTGATTTACGACTGTTAATTTGAAAACTTTGCCTATTGATGTGATGGATTTTGTTCAAACATAATGCATGTCAGGTTTAATACATAATATGTGTGAGTAGTTCGCTAAAACTTTGGTTCATTTGTGATGTTGTGAATGAAAGTGATGTGTTGAAGCATGATCTAAGGATTTCTAAGAATAATTTATAAACTAGATGGAATTTTGGAATAAGTTTTAAGTGGTTAGGACTATTCATTTACTTATTTTGAGGCCTGCTCAAACATTCCTACTAATTCTTCTACAATACTAACTATATCATTAAGAGTTAAGGGATCATTGGAGAAAGATTCTTGATTACTTACTTCTTTTGACAATTCTCCTTCTTCTAAGACCATGAGGAAAAGGTTGGTCGTTTCTTCTACGTCTGAGTCACTCACGGAGCCATTGTTCTCTCACGATATGTAAGCCCGTTGTTTCTTCGGGGCTTTTTTGTCCTTCTCGTTCTTGAGCTTAGGACACATTGGTTTAATGTGTCCAATTTCATCACACCCATAGCACTTAGGTGGAGTGTTCTTCTTAGCTCCATTCTTGGACATCGTCTTCTTGAATCTTCTCACGAACAGCCCGAGGTCGGTGTCGTCACTATCACCTTCATAATCATCATTATTGTCGTTGTTTGCTGTTGATGCAAAAGCAATGGTTCTCTTGTTATTCTCCTCTACCACCTTGGAAAGTTGAGTGGTTTCATAGGTAAAAAGATTAGCTTGAAAAGAATCTTATGTAGCCGTTTGAAAGTCACGGTCTTCTTCCATAGCGTCCACCTTTGAACGCCATTTCGGTGATAGACTACGCAGCACCTTCCTCACAAGTTCTCGGTCGGTGTAGACCTTCATGAGAAGATTTAGAGGGTTGATGATGTTTGAGAATCTCTTGAACATATCTTCTATCTTCTCGTTCTCCTTCGTGGGTGAGTTGATCAATTTTTGCCTCTCTTTCTTAGGCGGTTCCTTTGTAGGTGATCTCCAACTTCTTCAATATTTTCTTTGCGGTTTAACACCGCGATATCTTGCAGTAGTTATCCGCATTAATGCCACAATAAATCATATTTAGTGCTTTATCATTGAGCTCCATCTTTTTGCAATCTTCGTCAGTGTATTCCTCTTCGGTTTTAAGAACGTTGACTTCCCTGACCTTCTTCATGGGAACACTGCAACTGTTCTTCACAATCAATCAAAACTTATAGTCGTTGGATTGAATAAAGATCCTCATCCTCTCCTTCCAATACGAGTAGTTTGTTCCATCGAACAAAGGTGGCCTTGTAATGGATTGACCTTCGTTAACTCCTGCGTTGAACATTTTAGAAGCCATTGATCTTTGAATTCCTGAAAAATAAGATGTATTCGAAGAATTTCCTATTCCGATACCAATTGTTAGACAACGTGTGCAACTCTAGGGGGTGAATAGAGTTGTTATTTAGAATGAGCGTTTTTCGTGCGTGTGTGATAAAGAAAAATTGCAAGAAAAATGTAAAGGAGTAAAGAGGAAGAAGAAAACCGCGATATATACAGGTTCACCACCTTGTGGCTAGTACAGTTTTACAAGAGACTCTCTCAAAGGTCCTACTATACTTCAAGCTTCAACAGGTGCTTGAAAAACCAATTACAACTCGGGAACTTGAATCTCACAAGCCTAAACTTCTTACAACAAGACTTGAATCATACAAGTCTTAGCAACCTCAACTCAAAGAACAATTTGAGTTTAGAACAACACAAGAATGAGAGGCTCACACAATGAGCAAGCAGTGTTTAAAGTATTTAGCTATAATGGATGACCAATAAATTTGCACTCAAGAAAATATATTTCTAGCTCTCAAAATATTTACGTTTGAAGATCAAGAATGGAGCAAGAGATGTATGTATGAAAGGGATGAAATAAAGTGCTTGAATGAGGTGTTTGATGAAGAAGGAAGAGGGATTATATATAGATAGAAGGAATAAATCCGTTGGGACAAAGGGAGAAAGGTTGGATGAAGTGCATGCGATAATTAATTGATTAATCCTTAAGGAAAAAATCGATTAATATCTTCTGGCCGAAAACCCTTCAACGGATTAAAATGATATTCGATTATTCCCAAAGGGTAATAATCTATTAATATCTTCTATCCAAAAATCCTTCTACTAACCACATG